GTGAAGACCTATCTTTTCCGAGAGTACCCGAGTACTCTCGAAGCTGGAATAACTCTCGCCACGCAAGAGGAGTTTAGCCTGCGGCAGGCTAAACTACATGTGAACGTTCCACTCCCGCCCAAACCGGCGGTTGAGGGGGCGGATGAGGTGGAAGGAATGGACCTTTCAAGCGCAACTGCTACGGGGCAGCAGTGGACGAGAGCCAACGTGCGATGCTTCCGGTGCGGAAACATCGGACATTATGCACGCGAGTGTACGACACCAGTAGACTCGGTCCAAGGTCGACGTGGCGATACAGTGTATCGCCACGGTCGAACAAACAACGCGATGGACCAGTAGGCGCGGGGCGCCCTACTGGTAATGCAGTCACGCGTGTCTACAACGGACACGCGGTATGGAGACTGCAGCCCCCAGTGAGAGGGAATCTCACTGCAAGGTTCAAGATCACTAAAGATTGCGTGCTGTCGTGCAACCGGGCTTGATGACGCGTGCCCGCGGGTACAAGAACCCGCCGGCGGTATCAAGGAACATTCGTCCATGGCCGAGCCTGGACGAAACAGGGATTCACAAGAAGAAGCGAAGGCGCAAGCACAAGACGCTGTGCAAGTCTCGGTCCGGGACCGAGACTCTTCATGGTGTGTCTGCCGGGCAGACACAGGTGCCAACAGTGGCCGTCTAGACGTTGAACGTCTTGACGCGGGTCTGTACTGTATACCAGTACGAGAAGATGGAGTTGGAGAACCCTCCGACTGATACGTCGGAGTTGATCTCGCTTCCAGTCATGAGCTGGAAGCGCTTCGCAAAGGACCTGTACGATGGACGCATCGAACAGCTATGCATTCTTTTGGACTGCGAAAGAATGACAAGCAAAGCAGAGGAGTTGATACAACTCCTCACTGGAAGCCCCACTGAGATTGATGATACTCTCAGTGGCAAGACGAAGCAGGAACGCTTCAACGAGCAGAGTTGCAAGATTCTGCGAGAGCACATGGATGTGCTCTCGGACGGAACTCCCGCGGAAGAAGTATCCCGACGCGACAGCGGCTACTGTCGCGGGATCAAGCAAGGTGCGCGACGCATTGCTTGTGTTCGGTGCACGACTTCGCACCGAACTGCTTCTACATGATACTCGTTCACAGCCGGGCTGTGGACGGGAAGAAGAAACGCGCACGGAAATGAACCGCTGCGTGGTCGCTAGATGCGGCCAAGCTGGGCTTGGCTGCTACGCCGATCTTGGCAGTGGTTGTCCAAGATCGTCCATTTTCACGTACACATCCGATTTCGCGATCGGATGCGCGTTGATGATCCAGTGCATGACAAGGAAACCCTTGTCATGAAGCATACACCCCAGACGTGCCGAGTGCGATGACTCGGCAACACGCCGTTCGTGGTCTATACCGACCAGGCGACGTTGTGGGCAACAATGAAGTCGCCGCACATCTCGTCCTTCGGGTGA